TTTGAAGCACCGAGTCTCTGGTATTTGTTCTAACACTCACAGGACACTATTGCAATCAGTAAATCATTGTCTCTGCTCCTAAGAAATTTTCCTTTCAGGTTTCCCATATGGGTGACGTGGCTAAGGGCCCTTAGACACATGTGAATAATAGCTTCAAGAGCCTCTGGGGCAAGAGAGAGGGAACCATCATCCCTGACACTAGGACTGGTCTAGAGTAGGCAGTAGCTTACCAGTATCCAGAGTGAGCTCACTTTGACAGAAGGAAATGGGGATTTGGGAAAGAAGGGCATTCTAGGAGGAAAAAAATATGGGCAAAAAGTGGGCAGATTTGCTGTAACTAAGATGTCCAGGGCATAGCACACGGTTCAGGTTGGCTAGAATGTCTGTAGGGTATAGGTGTAGAAAAGCAGATCACTGGTAGAAACTTCCAGAAAAAACATGTGCATGTGTTTAATACATTTTTATATTACATACATTATGACTTGGTATGAAGTTCATGCAGCTTGGTATGATTTTAAATATAGAAAAGGAAATGGAAGGATTCATGTACTTTTTCCAAGGTCAGAGAGTTAGGTCTATAATGGAATCAGGATTGTAATCCAGATTTTTTTTTTAGTAATCATTCACCTTTGCAGTAAATGTCTGCTGTTCAGATATTCCTTTCTCTCTGGCCTAATAAAAAAGAAATTTTGTATTACTAAATATCAATTAACTGTTTTTTTTTCCAGCCCCAGTTATTTATACTTAATATTAACCACCTCGATGGTTATTGCTTAGAAACACACAATAAAGCTTTTCATAGAAATTCCTAGTGGTCTTGCTGGCCCTCTCCCAGGGTCCCCTGCATCTCTCTGCGCTTCCCACAGCCCTGCATAGGAAAATATTTAAGCAAATTGCCAGGCCTCAGTGTATGCTTGTAATTTAAATAAGTTAAGCAAAATTGCAATTTTAAATGTTTTCTTTCTGTTTCTTAATGTCGTATTATAACACGCTCCATGGTGCTCAATATAAGAAATGAACAATGCAAAAGTAACCCATTATTTCATGACTTTTTCCCTTCAATGAAATACATCAGAAGAAATATCAAATACTATGAAAAATAAACAGTGAAAATAGCAACTGGGAATTCTTAGCTGGCTCCCAGGTCTCTCCCCACTTGCAGGGAAATGTGTCATGAAGCAATTTTCTTGTCCTGCAAATGTCATAGAGTGTGATTACAAAAAGCTAGACTTCACATCTAGGTTGGGTGGTGTAACCTTTGGGACCATCACTGTATATAAGTCCATTATTGACCGAAAGGTCATTGACCAAGAAAGCATTAAGCACTTCATGGCTGTGTACCACCAACACATTCTCTTGTCTGTCTTGCCAGAAAACAAACAAACACAGAAATCAACAGTGCAAAGGTAAAGTTTTTCTTAATATTTACTTTTACTTATTTATGAATACAAGAACTCAGATGTAGGCCAGAGGTGTGAGAGCATTTTCCAGACATAGCGTGGGGAACAGAATGGGCAGATCCACTGAAACACACTGCTGAGGGGAGCAGTGGGTGAGATGGGAGTGGGTGAGTCTGCTGTGTCATGTGGGTCACCTTCCTGGCTGAGGACGGAATTCAGGTTGCAGTGGTGAAAGCACTGTGACCCAAACCCTAGGTCACCAGGGAGGCCCCAGATGTTTTTCTTAATCTAACACAAACCACAGTGTTCTGTGTTTTGCTTTTTATTCCCCTTAAAAATACAATTGAGGCCCTCCCTGGTGGCGCAGCGGGTTAAAGCACTGCACTAAGAAGCTAAAGCCACTTCCGATTGGGTTCAATCCCCGCCTGCCCTGGAGGTGACCACATGGCGCGGCAGACCTCTCTCCTGACCCGCCCGCTGCTCCCCTCAGCAGTGTACTTCATAGGTCTGCCTGTTCTGCTCCCCACTCTGTCTCTGGTGAAGCCTCTCACCCTCCGCATCTCTGGCCGGTACCCCAGTTCTGTATAAATAAGTAAATATTTAAAAAAAAATACAATTGAAATCTCTTTTACCACTGCAACCTATCATTGTATTTCTTATTCAAAGTTTTCACAATAGTCCATTTTACGGATGTGCCATCATTTAGCCATCCCCCAATTATTTCCAGTATTTTGTTAGTTCAAACAATGCTGAAGAAATGTCTCATCTAGAATATCTAACCTAGAATATTTTAGTGAGTACACGCACACATTTTTAGCAGCAGAATGACTAGGAGTTATCAGGCGCTCCCCCAGCTAAAAACCCTTTGCTATTCTCCAGGCCATTCAGTTAGAATCAAATCCAAAAACATTACCTTCATTTACCAGGCTTGACAAGACCTGGTCTCAGCCTATTTCTCCAGCCTGTGCGTTACTACTATTTTGTAACCTAGAGATACACCAGTCTTTTGTCGTAATCCTGCAACATCATCTCTTCCCTCAGAGCCTGGATCTGTAGTTGTTCTGGCCTCTAGCTACACTCTGCTAGCGTTGGCTGCTTCAGTCATTGTAGTTTCAACTCAAGTCATCTTCTCAGGGGCCTTCCCGGTTGAAAAGAGCACGCCTGGCCCTTCTCATCATGCTGTTGAATTTTAATCTTTGTTCTTCACTTTTATATGAAATTCTTTTGATGTTCCCTCTGGAATGGGAGCTCTAGAAGAGCAACAGCCCTTGTCTCTCTGCTTCCCCCACAGAGAGTCCCAAGAGCTCAGAATAGCCCATGCTCAAGGAATTCTGGGAATAAATAGTCAAGATATGGTTGGTTTCAAATGATCAGCTGCTAAATTTATTTCCAGTCATCAATTTCATTGCCAGTGACAGTCCCTGTTCTGAACGCCCACAACAGCACTGGGGACTTAGAAGCATTTACCAATTTTTGGTAATTGTTCACTTTTAAAGGTTAGGAAATAGGGATGTATCCCCTATTTTAGGCACAGGTAAGAACAAATCTGGCATTTGTCTTTCAACATAACCCAAAATCTGTCTTCAGATACTCACCCAACAACAGCACATGTTATTTGCCTAGAAAACAGTAAGTAAATGAGACTTTCTTATGTTCATCTGGGATTGATATGACTAATAAGAATACTGAATTTAAAATCAAATGCTTTAAAGACAAAAGTAGAATTTATCCTTGCAAACTACAGTGAAATGTTTGCTGGATTTTCTTATAAAAATTCCTTTCTCATCTCCCTCCCTTCTTTTATTATTTAATCAATCATTTATCCACTATACAAATATTTATTGATTGCTCACAGGCCCAGGGAATGAGCTAAAAGTCTTTATCTTTCATCAGACCACGCCCACCTTCCAGTTCAGTCTTGCCAATTCTTTTGGCCTGGGTTTTACCTTCAAATTCACTCAGAATTGTGCTGCTGAATACTCTAGAATGATAACCATTAAATGGACAGATGAGGAAAGTACATACCTGAAATCTTTGAGAGCACCACCTGTGTTAATCACCAACCAGTGTAGCTCTCTGCTTGATATGACATTGTACCACATACTGAAAACATTTCTTTAATTTTCTGTTATAGATTGCCTCTTTACAAAGAGGTTTCTCCAGGCACCAGACTTTGAATGAAAATACTGTTTGGACTGGAGGTGGTGGTGGAGAGTGATACGCACTGAATAAAGGGAATTTTCTTCCCGGTCCTAATGTCCACCTTATCGTTAAGGCGGTTTGCTTCTCCTTATTATTAGTTATTATTATGAAGTTTACAGTCACATCTAGAGATTGTCAGATGTGTCTGTGGCACCTATCTCATTTTATTCTAACCTGTGAGGAGTGAGTAGAAAAGGAGAAAATACTTTTCCCTCCCAGCAAAGGAAGAGAGAGTTATGGAAGGTGAGGTTAAAATATGGCTGTAAATGTGGAGGTTCAGTAGGGGTCACCATCAGGTTTAGCCACCTCTGCAATTATTTTCTGGCGACATGCACAATATATAAGGAGAAATGTCTTGGGTGTACAAATAAAGGTTTTACATGGAAGGAGGGTGTTCCCCAATAGAGCAAGGGGTTCAGTCTCAGCATCTGAACTATAGGCAGGCACTACAACACCAGTTCGATCCCGTCAGGGAGTGACCCACATGGCGCAGCAGACCTCTCCATTCTCGCCAGCTGCTCCCCTCAACGGTGTATTTCAGTCAGTCCGCCTGTCCTGTTCCCCCTTTGTCTCTGGTGAGTCCTCTCACCCTACCTGTCCCCCTCACCTGTGGTCTACATCCCAGCTCTCTATGCATAAATAGATAAGTCATTATTATTATTTTTTTATAAATAAGGTTTTACAACGGGCCAGTGGGTCCAGTTCTCGCCAGTGCTAACTTCTGTCGTCCCCCCCGCCCCCTCCCCCGCGTTTTCTGGCCTCATTAAATCGACCCCTCCCAGAACACAAACCCTCTACCTAACCCCTCTGGCTCTTCCGGCTGCCGGTCACCCTGACTTTAGACCTTTCCTCATCCTCTGCGCCCCCAGCCCGCACGCGATCGGGGAGCGCTGCGGGACACCGGTCCCAGGTAGAGGCGATTCAAAGTCGTAGCTCGCGGGTGGGGTATCCCGAGGGTACCGCCCTGGAGAGGCGATGGGAGGCGCGTCCCCTCCGCTGTGATCTCAGCGCCTATTTGCAGGGAGTTCTCCCAGCCGGAGAGCTAGCAGGTTTTACTATTTGGCTGCCGCCTACTCGCCCAGCTCTCCAGGCCACGCGCCTTGGGGCTGCGCCCCGCATGCTGTAACTTCATCCAGAGGCGAGGCGAGGCGGCCCACGAGGTTGGGAGTGGGGGTTCTGAATGACCTCTAGGCGACTTCCTCCTCCCGGCGCCCTTCCTCCACCCCCCGGGAACCTCCTGACCCACAAATCTGCCCCTCAGGGCGAGAGAGGGCTCGCCCACTCTTGCTCTCAGTCGCAAAGGGTTAATTTTTCCGATCGCATGAGGGGGAGGAGATTTCCCTGTAGACAAGTAAAAAGGGTGATGGACAAACGTGCGGGCACTAAGACCGCAAGGCATTCATTTCCTCCTACGGTGGATGCGGACGCCGGGAGTGGGAGAGCCCCAGATCGCCGAGCGCGGAGCACGGAGCGCAGGCACGGGCAAAGCTCAGCCCTGGATGTAGCTGAGAGGCTGGGGAGAGACCGACTGCCGGAGAGCCGAGCGGCCAGGGGAAGACCGAGGGGGGTGGGTGGGGGAAGCAGACAGGCGAGCCCTCGAAATCCAGCGCTTTACAGCTTATTTTATTTTGTGTAGAGAGCACGTAGCGACTCCGAAGATCAGCCCCAATGAACATGTCAGGGTTGACGTTACAAGAATATGAATTCGAAAAGCAGTTCAACGAGAACGAAGCCATCCAATGGATGCAGGAAAACTGGTAGGTGATGCTTTCGCGTGATCCCGTTCCCGGGAGTCCTGCGCGGCTGCCCGGCGCGCTTCCATGTCGGTCTTCCCGGTCTGGGGCGGGAATGGAGCGCCGAGTCGCCGGCTCGGCTGCTGACTTCCCGGGTCTCCATGGAGCGCGTGGGTCTGCGGGTGCCCTTGTGTGAACCGCGGCCCCACATGCATCGTGAGCGTAGGTCATGTTACACTGAACATGGACGTGTGCGGGAGTGGATCCCCGAGGGCGGGAGAGATGGCTCACGCTCCCGGTCCCCTACCTGGGGAGCTCCCGCGTTCCTCGCCCGGCCTCCCGCGGGCGGAGTGAGCCGGGCGGTGGAGGGAGGACCCGGCCCTCTCCGGCTCGCCGCCCTCGGCTCCCCGGTCCTCGCCCTCTCCTCATCCCTCGTGCCCTTCCTTTCTCCTTGCAGCTCTCCGACTTCTCTGCCTTCCTCTCTGCCGGCTTCCTCCTCTCCGGGACCCCTTTCCCCACGCGGATCGCTTTCCGGTTTCATAAAAGACCGGGCGGGAGAGTGGAGAGGAGGGGACAATGAAAACAGTGATAAAAATGAATGAATCGGGCGAGTGGAGCCACGCCATTATTAAGTTTCTGTTTTATGGAAACGCCTTTTGGACACGCTCCGCTCTGATTCCGTGGAAGGCTGCTGATTGGAATTGAGACATTAAAAGCTGCTCAGTCCGCAGAGCTTTTCCCCGGACAAACTTCTAATCCGGGAAAGCATCTCTCTTGTTTACCGTGTTCCCTCCGCCAGTTCTTTTGAAAATCCCCGTGTGGGAGGCGATCCTGTGTCACCTTGCAATATTTAACATGGTGGGGGGTGTGCTCATCTCGCTTGTTCCTCGTAGACAGAGCTGCTGTGGCAGACATTACCTCCCTCCCCTCACCCCTGAGTCTGGCAATGAGTAGTAAAGTGCAAGCCCCGCGCTCTCGGAGCTGGGCAGCAGCCCGAGCCCCCGGCCGGTTCCCCGGGAGGGACGGCCGCGCCGGGGGGGGTGGGGGAGGCTGCAGCCGCCGCGTGCGCGGTCGCTGGTGCCGGGCGCCCTCTGGACCTGCCGCCCTCCCCCATCTCATCAATGGGAAACCGTAGACGCGGACGCGCCGGGGGCCGGGGCGGCTGGGCGCGTTCGGAGGAGGTGCGACGGGCCAAAACCGGGGACGCAGGGGGCTCTACTTCCTCCCCTGCGGCCCGCAGGCGTCGCG